TGCTGTATCACGTCTGTAATAGAATGGGACCTTTGAAATACTTGTTCACAGTACCTTTCAAGTGCTCAGACTTTTGTACCTTGGCTAACAAATGAATGTTTTTAATTGCTTTATTGTAGGCCTGCATAGTGACCAGCGGTTGTTTTGACAACATTGCTATCCTTACACAGTTGTTTAAAATTAAATATACCTCTGATTATGTGCTACCTTTTCTGTACATTAATAACTAATCTAGAAAAGCCATTCTTCTGATCATAAAACACCTTTTCTGAGCACTTGAAAGGTACTGTGAAGAGCTGGGCATGGTGGTGCATGCCTATAAACCCAACATTTGGTAGACCAAGGCAAAAGGATTGCGAGTTCGAGGCCAGCCTGAACTAAACAGCAAGACCTTGTCTCAAACAGAAATAAAAACAAACACAAGGTACCATGCACTTGTTTCTATTTATGGGTTTGACAGCTTGGCTGGAAGCTGAATATACTCAATCTGTTCACTTAGTCTTGCACTAGTGTTTCCATGTTCAATTAGCATTTTCTTTACAGTAGGCTTTATTATGCAGCAAGCCAACTCATTCTTTAGCCCTTACTTTTGTTTAGAAAAAGTCCTTAATTTGCTCTTCTCAAGTAATTTACTAAATTAAGAGTCAAATGTCTTAAAATACCAAACTGAGAGAGATTTTGAACAGAACTGCATTAAATGCACCTTATTTTAAGAAAAAAATGGCTCAAATAAATTCTTGTCAAGCAGAAACATAGTATGTCTTAGATTAGGTTCTTTAAATGTATTTATAAGGGATTATATAATTAATTTCATAACTGGGTATTCAATTTTAGGTGTTGTGAATGAGGTCATCTCTTTTCAATATATACTTCAAATGATTACAAGTGAAATTATAACTAATCTTATAGTTATCACATGATGGCAGGCAGCCTTTTAGAGTTTTCAATAATACAAACAGCGCACTGTAATATGCACGCCATAGGTCTTGTCACCACTGGTCTAGCATGTTTTTTTCTTTTTGGTTTTTTGAGACAGGGTTTCACTATGTAGTTGAGACTGACCTGGAATTCACTAATTAGCCCAGGCTGGTCTCAAACTCACAGCGATCCTCCTGCCTCAGCCTCCCGAGTGCTAGGATTACAGGTGTGTGGCTTCTAGTCTAGCATCTTATTAAATTCTTATTTTAAAAATTTCAATAACTTTTATAATTCTAAGAAGGTATCATGAAAATGTATTTTTATTTTCAGATATCTTGAAGCAGCAGTTTAGTTATTAAGAACTTACTTGTTCCATCTTTCTATAATTTAGCAGCTCTTATTGAAAATATCTGAAATTTATTTTTATAACCAAAGAACTTTTTCAGAGATGTATTCTAAGAACTGCAATTAAAGATTTTATACAAAAGTGATGCATCAACGTTTTAAACAAATGGTCAGATAAATTATGTGTGTGTGTATATATATATATATATATTATGTTATTATGCAGTTATTAAAATTATTTTTCAGAAGCCATCTTGACATAGGCAAGTACTCAGAACATACTGTTAGGCAAAAGTTCAGAACACACAGTTGTATTTTCATTATGATAAGACAGTGTTAAGTATATTAAAAAGTGCATAGAAAATAAAAAGAAATGCAACAAAAATCCTAACTGCAATATTTTTTAATAATTGTAAAAATTTAAAATATATTTGGCTTTTCAAACACACCCTGTAACTAGATATTTTTGTTATTATTTCCCACATTTTGATTATATTCTTTTCACCTTCCTGTTTCCAAATTTTCTATAATATGCATGGTTTTTCACAATAAAAATATAAAAAACAAATTCTAAATTAAAAAACCACCATCCTGTACTTCATTTTTATAATGTATCAATAGATTCTTTATCCAGGGAGAGGATTTAAAAAAAAAAAATGAAACAGCTCTAATACCAGAGCACATACTCCAGGCTGCTCATGCTAACCAGTACATTTACCATCCACCTGGCCATCAGTCAGAAAAGAATGAGTCCATCAAATGATCAAAGTCACCCACAACAACTTTCCTTTTTTTAAGTTTGCAGGCTCTGGAGCTTAATACTATAATTTATTTATTTTAGCTTGGGTTTAAGCTTGTAACATACCTCAAGGTACTCAGTATGTAGTACAAGTGAAAATACCCTGGGAAGATTAATCTTTTACAACTATCTAGGGTTTTTCTGTTTTTGTTTTTGTTTTTGGTACCAGGGATCAAACTCAGGACCTTGAACTTGCCAGGCAGGCACTGTGCCACTGAACTAAATCCCCAGCTACAACTATCTAGTTGTTATTAGATAAATCATTGTTCTATGAGTTTATTTCAGAAGTTTACATTTATTTCATTTACATTACACTTATTTCACTCAGAGGTTTACATTTTATTTCACTGGCCTACAGTATTCGTAGGAGGAAAGGCTTATGTGAATAAAATTTTACTAAGTAAAATATGGTAACACAAATGTTAATTGACCTCTGACAAACACAAAATAATTTTAGGTAAGTATCTAAAGAGTATACACTAAATTCAGCCTCAGTAAAGTGCTCAGACACATTTGTTGTAGTATCACTGATAAACACTAGCTTCTTTCAGTTTTCAAGAGCTTTTAAGTTCTTATAGGCAATCTCAGCACAAAAACTGAGAGAATTTCAATTCCTATTAATGTCCACTAGTTTCACACATTTATAGTAATTCAATTTAAAATAATTATTTGTTCCTCATAAAATTCCCTTAACATTAGGTAAATATTGTTATTGCTATTTTAAAGCAAGGAATGAGCCTACTTACTGGTTATGACAGCTTATCAATCTTACGACAACTATTCTAGCACTGTTCCAATGGGAATGTAAACTGCAAGAGGGTAAACAGATTTCTCTTTGCTCCTAGAAGATCACCTGGCACATATGGTCGTAGAAGTATTTGTTGCATGTATCAGTTAATAAACTTCCATTATATAATTATACATAAGACGTCAAAGCAGGGGAAAAGAATCAATACAAATTCATGAAAACTACGAAAAAGAAAATAATCCAAGACCTTTTTATCATACTAATATAGCAGCACCTACATTTTAATTACTGCAGCATAGCATACAGGATGAATGTGTTCATCTAGCTAAAACAAGAGTCTATTTCATGTGTATTAATATGAAGTTAGTGTACAGTATATTTCTAGCAATTTTATTAAATATATTATTGTATTACAGCATTCTTACTTAAAATGTAGCGACTGAGCAAAAAAATTAAAGATTATAATATTTACACAATCCATTCAATTAAAACACAGAGATTTGAAATATTTCAGAATAACAAAATGTTCAGAAATGTTCAAATCTTTTTACTGGAAGGATCATCTTTTTTTGGTGTACCGGGAATCAAACTCAGGACCTTGAGTTTGCCAGGCAGGCGATGGGCTGTGGAGCTAAATCCCTGGCCCAAAAGGATCATTTTTAAAATTTGTATTTCTCAAACTCAGTGTTCATAAAGTAAAATGTAATAATTTTACAAACTACTGCAGATTTCTCTTTATTTCCTATACATCTTTAAACAAAATTATAGGGTTAAAATTACAAAATTAAAATTATTGAACATCCTTTCGACACCAATTACCCAAGAGGATTGCTTTAATGCAAGGGTTCTAACCTATATGGGAGATAAGAAGGCAGGGTTCACAAAAGACTTCTGCAAATCTCATGAAAATATGAGACAAATACATGCACAACAGGTATCTCATACTTCCTACTGGGGACAGTTACTTCTAGAGACATTTTGAGGGGGCGATACCAGGGAATCAAACCCAGGACCTTATGCTGGCAAAGCAGGCAGCAAAACCATTGAGCTAAATCCCTGGCCAACTCATGGAGACATTTGATTTAGAACAAGTATCATCATTTCACTATTCAAAGAAATGTAGATTCTTAAAATCCTTTTACTGTGTTATTTATATTACTCAGCTTTCTCCTAAAAGATTATGTGGTTGTCAGTGTTTGCACAAAGGGAACAAATATAGATAGAAGAGAAAGCTGATCATAAAATTCTATTACATATTTTTTGGTCAGAATAGAAAACATTTGATTTTTTTTTAAAAAAACATTTGATATTTAAGGTTTTAACTATGGCTCAAGTTATTCTAATTCTATTCTCCCTCTGCTCTCTACTACAGTAAAGTATTAAAAATAGGAGCATTATCAATAAAATACAAAAAGGACCCCCCACACCAGGGATCAAACTCAGGACTTTGTGCTTATGAGGTACGTGCAGCACCAAACAAAAAAGATTTTGATGATATAACTGAAAGCAACTTTATTACCAAGGCATGGAAATATTCTACTTTTAACATAAAGTAGTAATTATTCATGAAAAAAATATATGTTGAGAATTACACTACAACACCGCCCATGAAGCCAAATATCATCTTGTAATATTAGCAGGTTTCCTTACATTGAAACAATAAGCCTGAAGGACTAGAGATCCAGCCCAGAGGTACAGCCCTTGCCTACTATTCACAAGGCCCTATTTTTATCCCCATCCCTGCAATCACCACCACCACCACCACCACCACCACCACCACCACCATTACCATCCCCCACATCTAATGATAAACTCTAATGCAAGGGATATTTCTCAGAGCATATAAATAATCCAGTCTTTTACTGTTATACCCATGCTCTCATTTCATCAGTATTGATCTTACCTTTCTTTTCGGTCCGGATTGCTTAAAACATGAAAAAGAAAAAAAAAGTAAGAGGCAAGACCTCATTGTATGTATCACTTAGCCCTTGCCTACTATTCACAAGGCCCTATTTTTATCCCCATCCCTGCAATCACCACCACCACCACCACCACCACCACCACCACCACCATTACCATCCCCCACATCTAATGATAAACTCTAATGCAAGGGATATTTCTCAGAGCATATAAATAATCCAGTCTTTTACTGTTATACCCATGCTCTCATTTCATCAGTATTGATCTTACCTTTCTTTTCGGTCCGGATTGCTTAAAACATGAAAAAGAAAAAAAAAGTAAGAGGCAAGACCTCATTGTTGATGTATCACTGCAGCTGTAGTAACTATACTTAATAAGGCAAAATTATAATGCAATCAATTTGTTTTAGACATTCTGTATGTATTCTATGTTTTAGAAAATTTACTGATTCCAATCCTATTGTCAAAAGTATGATTATTTACTGTTGATTAAGAAAAAAATATTTTAAGGCTGAAAGTTCTACACAAATATCCTGGAATAAATAGTGTGTGTTTATTTGGGAAAAAAGGAAAAGCCTGGGACTTAAAATAATGGCCTCTTATCAGAAGTCCAATGTATAAAAGTTCCACACTTTTGCAAAGTAAATAGAAACTCAAAACAACAACAAAAAAAACATCAATTACTCAAGAATGGAACTATACAGTCTCCAATTTAGAATAAAGTCCCAGATTCACATCCTGAAATTATTTATCCAAGGAATTAAATATTCAGAACAATAAGCAAAGCACAGTTTACAAACATTCTCAGATCCTATATTGACTCTTGTATTCCCATCATGTTGAGCACATAAATAATTTAATCTGAACTTATTTAAAAATATATGGTAACATCTTTATACATATATTGTTTCAACAATGAAGGAAAAGAATCACTATAAACTTACACATATTTTAAAATTTACTCTTAAATTAGACTTATCACCTAATCTAGTAATTTCAATTTTACAGTATTGAGCCCAAAAAGTGAGAGAATTTAGCTTTTCCGTTTTGTTATTTTTTAAACTCACCTGGTACAGAGAAGAGAGGTAGAATATAGAACAGAGGTAAAATAAGCAGGTAAGGTTTTCCCAATAAGCCAAAGGAATTAGGAAGAAGGAAAAAATTCTTTAAAAATTTCCCCTCACGTTATTCTTCAGAAAAATTAATTTATTATATGATACCTAATTTACAAGTCACAGCACTCCATATGCAGTTTCAATGAGTTTGTGAAGTCCTGCCCTACAGGAGCTTACACATAGTTATAAAAAACAGGGAGGTTGTCATTAATCATGTCATTAAGTCTGTAAAAGTATCAACCTAATTCTTGGACTATTTCACACAAAATGGAAAGGAAAATTTTCCTTGAACTAGTGCTGTTCTAGTAGTCTCAACATTTTTTATTAAGGTGGGGGAAAAAGACATCAGTTTTGTCACCCATGTCAATTTAAAACTGTAAAGATTCTTTCAAGATGGTGCTCTTTGCAAATAGTTAAATCTGGCTTATTTAGGAGCCCATTTTCTCACTCACAGATTATACTTTTTTTGCAAACATTTATTTCCCCTTCCAAGTTTTTTGTGCCTCTCCTTTAATGCACCCCACTGTGAAAATATAAATAAAACAAGCCCACAAGATGTTTCTTTAAGTCTGAATTAAGGGGCATGGGCAGTAAAGATTTACATATTTTTTCAATTTTCTACATTTCCTTTCCCATACTAATACTAGTCTCCTTTACCACCATTAGAGTATGGGCAACCTATCTTTTATTCTTATTTCTTTTCCAATACTGGGAATCAAACTCAGACCTTGCGCTTGCTAGGCAGGTGCTGTGCTGCTGAACCAAATCCCTGGCCCAACCTATCGTTTAAATATGAATTAAAAATTATTATCTGGATTAGTAATGAGAAAACAGACTAGAATTTTAATTAGCTCCCAAAGATTAGCTAAATATTTAACAGTCTTCACTCATTGCCTTTATGGAGTTTTTTTGGAGACAGGGTCCCTGTATGTACATAGTTCAGGCTGGCCCTGAACTTACTGCGATCCTCCTGCCTCAGCCTCCAAATGTTGGGATTATAGGTGCGTACCCACCACACCACATTCATTCATTGCTCTTTAGATAAAAAGGTATCTCGCACTAAAGAATTTACAAATGTCTTAGTATTCAGGTCTGATTCACTTTAAAAAGGAAGCTGTACATATTCAAAGCTAACAGTACTGTATACTGATACCCCAAGAATATTGTGTGTGAGTTACCAAATTGGTAGCATTTCTTTCAATTTCAAATTAAGACAGAGAATTTTTATCAGAAGCTTTAAAGGCCATTGTAAGCCAGGGTGTTCACCCTCACTTTCACCTGAGGCCTAACAATTCTGCTCAGTGCCAACTATCATAAGTGAATTTTCTCTCAATGTCTTTGAAGATGTGGATACTGTGGCATGAGCACCCTTTTACATACCCAGGACACTCAAAGCTCCTTTTAGTGCTTCCTTAGTTGTGACTTCTTCCTTATCAGTAATATTAAGTACACATACTTTGCATATCTCTAGTACTGCAGTTACCGTGTGTTTATTTCTTTTTACCTTCTATCCTAATTAAATTTGGTCTCCAAGGGCAAGCACTTTGTCACATTTATCTCTGAATACTATTTCTCATCTACGCCTGCTCACTGATTTTGAAGCAAGCAAAGTGAAAAACCTCTCAATGACCTGACTTTGAAATCAAAATATTTTTAATGACAGTCACACTGCAGGTGGAATAAAATATTTATTCTTATACAGAGTAAAAGAGAAACAAGTAGAATCTGTCCTGCTTACCTGACTCTACAATTTTATTTATTGCTTTTAATCATTTCTGTCAAATATTTTCACTCAAGATTGCTTGAATACAGATTAACTGAGGTTGCTGCTGTTGTGTTGTTTTGTTTTGTTTTTTGGTACCAGGGAATGAACTTAGGAACCTCAAGCTTACCAGACAGGTGCGGGGCTGCTGAGCTAAATCTCCGGCCCTGTAGCTGTTTTTAAGAACAATATTTTACTGTTAAATACTAGCTCTTATAAACTGAATCTAGTCATTTATAAAGATGAGTGATGGAATACATTTAAGGTATAATAGGTGCTGAGACCTGTAATAAAAAATAAAATAATCCAATTTCCATACTGTAATCATTTTTAAAATATTCCAATGAGGAAATAAGGGATTAAAAAATAGGTCACTATGCAAACAATTCCAAATGGATAATTTCAAAAGCACGATTAATTTAATTTTAGTCATAAAAAACTTTAAATTAATTTTATCAGAATATCAAGACAGTACCTCCTCAGCAACAGTTCCTATTATTGTGATTAATGTATGAGCCTGTGTCTCCTCTTCCCTCCCCTAATTATTCTCCTTTTATCTTCTGTGCCATACACACATAGGCCAAAGAGCTTAGTTTGCATACTTTATCCGTTAGGACAAGCCAATGTTTAAGTATAATCATTTGTTTTTTGTCTTTCAACTGAACTTTTCAAATATCTTCTGTAAAAACTCTCATGGAACAAACAATAAAGCAAAAGAAAGATTTAGAAAATCTAAAGTATGAGAAACTTAAGATTTTTATGTTACAGTAAATCTATGTAAATATCAAATATGACAAAAATCACTAAGGCTCAAGACACATTTTCTAAGGTAGAAGGCACAAGTTCAAGGCCAGCCTGGGCAACTTATCAAGACACTGTCTCAAAATAAAAATAAATAGCTGGGCATGGTAATCCCAGCATTCAGGAAGCTCAGGAAGGGCAGGCTGAGGCAAGAGGACTGGTACAAGCTCAAGGTCAGTCCTGGATATACAGTGAGTTCAAGGCCAGCCTGAACTACAAGTGAGACCCTATCTCCAAAACAACGGAAGCGGCAACAACAACAAAATAAAACAAAAAAACAAACGAACAAATCTAATAAGTAAATTATAAGTAAAAGAGTTCATTGCTCTCTGGGTTCCATTCCTAGTACTGGGGAAAAAGCAAACCATAAAACTGAAACATTTCCTTAGTGAACAGCAGCCTAGATTGACATTTTTAAATAATGAAGAACAGCACCTAAAATGTGTTACAAATTTTTAAATTTTACTACTTTTTGAAAACTATAATGCAACAGTCTATTTAACTGCTAGAACCTAGCAACTTGAGTCAAGTGAAAGGGAATATAAACAATCCAAAAATGGTTCTGAAAACTCTCCAAAGTATTTAAAATACCAAGCTTTTCTCAACTATTACTTTCATTAACATTGAAGCAATACTTTCCAGATCAACTAAAACTACTGAAATCAAAATTTTCCAAAAAATTTAAAATTGACTAGATTTATTTCAGTACTATGAAATTTTATAAACCTTAGAAAGCAAGTAAAGCAGTTTATCTTTCAGAGCTCAATACTAAAAGGATATCTCAAGTAAACTCTTAAGGTTCAAATTATAAACTAGCATTATTTAAATATATTCTTAGATCTAGACTGCAAAACAACAGAATGACTTATTTTAAATTTATGTATTTATAGAATGCGATTTTTTCAAAGGCAGATACAGTATAAAAATTTCAGGTCATGAATTATTTTAGAGACATATCTTTTAGAATGAAAACAGCAAAGTTTCACATAGGAGAAAAAAAATTTTAACTTAAAGTAAAACACCACTTTTTAAAGAGGGTGGAATGCACATACTAAACAAAGAGAATTCCGATCCTTACCTTTGGGCTGCTGTTTTTACTACTGGTATTTGTACATGAGCATGATGAAAACGTCTACCATGAACTATAGTTCCAGAACATAATGACGTATTTTGTGTATTTTCACTGCAAAATTCAAAAAACAAGGAATAATTTGAACGGGGAAAAATTATACACATGATGACCAAAGAAAGATTCTTTAAAATCTGAGCACATACATAAAAATCTTTAGTTTACTACTTAAAAAAACTTTAGCCATACAAAATTGTTCACTAGGAATACTCTATTTCCCTAATTCTTTCAAATGTCTCCTAATTCTTTCAAATGTTTTCAAGGAAAAACAGAACATTAGAAGAGAAACCAGGATTCCTAAATTTTAACTCTGATTCTGCCACTAACTTGAAAATTAAGCTTCATGAGTCTCAGCTATCTATAAATTGACAGAGTAGAAATAACATAATTTTAACCTGATATATGCATTGCTACTGATAATCAAATACTAAGTAACAGTAGTTCACTATGATAACCACTAAGAAAGCTGGGTTATATCTGGAAGACGAGAGCAACAAGAAATCTTTAGGGGGAGGGAAGGCCCTTGTTAAAATAATCTTAAATTTCTAGGTATCTTCTAAATGAGATGACCACCCTAGCTCATAGTGCCTTCCATTTCTAATATTACAACTAAGAGTCTACTTATTATATAAAAGCCAATGTATGAGATGCCAGCCTATTGAAATGTTTGAGATATGTTTTATTCAAAACCTAAAAACCAATGCAATCAATCCTACTCCCCAGATTTAAAGCAAAAAATCCATATACTGAGATCACCCTATGTGTTGGTCTACTGACAAATTTAAAAGAAAAGATACAGGGTGGGCCTACTGGCCACAAAGATAGTGATTTCGTGCCAAACTCTATCTTTTCTGTAGGAAAGTGTGGTGATGCACCTATACCTCAATTTCTTATTGTTGCTCAACATGTTAATTCCAATTGGGTTGCCTTTCAAAGTTTTAAAACTTTCACTCTTGTTTCGTCCCACATATGTCTTCAAGATGAAATCACCAGAACTAGTAGCAACAATTTCAGATGGACGATTTAACTGTAAAAAGATCCATAAATATTAAAGAGTCAATTAACACCACAATATATCAACAACTACTTGAAAACTCACTAAAAAAACGAGTAAAAAATGTACAACTCCTTGGGGATGGAGGGGGTAGGTGACAACTGTGGTATAGACCTGAGAGTATTTTAGCTGTAATAATTTTTTTAAAGACAATGCAAATATGTAGGAACATGGGAATATATTATTTTCTTTTCAAACCTTTCTAAAGATATATGAAAAACTAAGGATAGCAGACCTCAGGATAGCTTTCTCCAGAGAGTTAAAAACAAGCCTTCCCTCTTCTTAGAAGGCCTTGGTGTTATCTTTAGGGCAGTACTGCAAAATATGACTTGTTATTTAAACAGGTGCCTTTCTGTAAGGATTTTTGCTTTACATTAAAATTTCTATAGAAACACAGAAACTGAAAGGGTTGTGATACCTTCACAGATGGCAACTGTAACATAAACATATTAATACTAATCATGTGGGAGAGATCTCAGTGTAACAGGATGTCCCATTCCCCTTGGGAATCCCTTAACAAAGAACCTACCTTGGTTACTTTTACTGCACAAGATTTTACACTCTGGCAAAAGTCCTCAGTTCTTACTGATAATTTCCCAAAAATGACATTAAAAATAAAATCACTCTTAATTTCTTTTTTGTTATTTCATTATGTTAAGGTCTCAGTATGCTGCTCAGGCTTGCATCAAACTCCTGAGCTCAAGTGATGCTCCTGCCCCAGCCTCCCAACTAGCTTGGTGTACAGGTTAAGTGCCAATGCACCTGGCACTTTTTTTTTTTTTAAAAGATAAGATCTTGCTAGTCTTGAACATTCAATTTTTCAAGACAAGTTTTAAATTTTCTTTTGTATTCTTTTGTAAGAAACTACACTGCTAAGATGGTAACTGGTCTTTTCCCCCTAATTATTTCTATATAAACTCCACAGTGTCTCAAAAAATATCTCAACAAGTCCTCTTGAGGAAAGCATTCAGTGAGCCAGCACTATTCTTACTTTCTGACATATCTATATTCCATAATCCAAATTATCTACTTTTGACATACTGCTTCTTACTTTCTTTTCCTCAAGACATTTCACTGCTTTTTAATCCAGTGATGGCAAACCTTTTAGAGCTTTCAATGATACAAACAGCCTGTGACTGCACATGTGTCACGGGTTTGCCATCACTGTCTTTCCTGGATAAAAAAGGACCATCAAGGATAAGAAACCTGGAGAGCTAACCCAAGATGTGAGATATTTTCCTATAAAGGATCTATGATCCCAGAAGATGCAGCCAAGAGGCTAAAATGAAATAAATTTCCAACATATTCACATAGCTAGGGAGACAAAAGCTAGAGTTCCACAGAAAGTAGAAGTGAATTTCCAACATATTTACACTGCTAGGGAGACAAATATTGAAGTTTTACATCCGCCAGGCACAGCAGGACTCATAAACACCTCAAAATATGAATGAAGATAGGAGAGTACAACTATAAATGAGAAATAGTACAGCCCCCACAAAGGAAATCCAGCTTCTTTGTCATAATTTGAATTCTCAGGTGGATTAAAGTAACATGCTCAAATTTTTTATTATACCAGAATTACCTGGACGAGTTAAAACAAACTGCTCTGCCCCAGCAGGTCTGGGACTGACCTCAAATTCATGCATGGTCTTCTTGCCTCTACCTCCTAAGTGCTGTAATTATAGGCAGGTGCCACCATGCTGGGATAATCTCCTTATTTTATTATACATTATAGTAGTTCTTCAGGTTGGGTCCAGCAACTGGACCTAAAACATCAGGTCAGTTACTTGACCTTTAATGAGTGACAGGCAGAAAACACTCAAATTTCCCTCATAGATTGTTCTTCCTCAACAAAATCTCTCTTGTGTATTATGTAAACTTTATAAAAGTTTATCCCTATGTTTTAGAAATCATTTAGCTTAAAAAGCAAAGTGAGGCCAGGTATGGTGGCCCACCCCTGTGATCCCAGTATTCGGGGTCGCTGGGACTTCAAAGCCACCCTGGACTCCACAGTGAGCTCAAAGCCAACCTGAACTGCATGAGACACTGTCTCAACCCCCCTAACCCCCCAAACACACTTAGCCAGAATAATTTGCCTGAACTAAACTAGAACAAAGACTGGTCTGATTTCAAAGTCTTTGCTTTCTCATACCACCTGGCGGGAGGAAATTTTACAGTGGTGTTTGTAGGAAACACAAATGTACATTTCTAACAAGAGACAATATCAGACAATGTTATTCTAGTAAAAACTGAAATCAGTAGGATACAGAGCATCTCAAGAAAAAGATCTATGCTAAAAATTGCTTTACTAATATGGAAATTAAACCTTCCTCTTAAGAATGAATTGTTTAAATCAAGATTACCTTGATACATAGGCACTCAGCCAACTGTTCCTTCCTTTTTTGAGGAGAGGGGAGTGGTACCAGGATTGAACTCAGGGGATACATCTCAGCACTTTCTATTTTTCATTTTGAGGCACCATCTCCCTAAGTCACTAAATTGCCCGGGTTGGTCTTGAATTTGCGATTCTCCTGCCTCAGCTTCCCAAAATGCTGGGATTATAGCCATATGCCACCACACCTGGCTTCAAATTTTCTTCCTGAGAAAGCATGTGGGCAAAGCTACAGACAACCCAATGCCCATTATCATGTACGTACAGGATACCCCCTAGGTAGGGAAAAGATTGGATGAAGGCCTCCTTGAGCTTTGTTAGAAGTTAATGGAGATTTACTAAGGGCAGCTAGAGGTGGCCTCTGCTCCAGTAGATTAGATTCAAGTAATCAGAAAAACAAAGGCAAAGAAACTAAGCGCGGAAGGTCTCCAGTAGTGCAATTAACATAAACCCTCTTACATAACCCTTAAATCTAAACTACCCCCCCATAATTCTAGTCTCCATCAACAGTAAAGGTCACATGACCCAAAGAAACCCAAGGGGAGGACCAAAAACAGCCACAGAGCCAATCAAATTCCAGGAGCCTACAAAGGGAGAAGAAACCTGAGAAAAGGAGCTACAAAGCTCCCCACTCCTCCAGAAGGAGTGTTTCCCTATTTCCCCTTCAAATGCTCCTTAATTGTCCAGAGGACTTAGCTAGCTGTCCGTCTCTCCCTTTCCCCAACCTTCAAATAAATCACCTGCTTTTAAAGTCTGCTTCTGTAGTTTCTTTTACGGACACGGGGTTTAGGATCACCAAGAGCCGTGTTCCAGCAGAGCAGTGGCATGGCATGGGGTGGTGTATACCTCTTCCCAGATATTACAATCAAAGCAAGAGAATCTACTGTATTAGTAAAATTCTTTAAATTACCAACTCTCCTTTTCATTGGTTGCTTATATGCTTTACAGCTTTAATCAGCAATAAACAACTAGTAACTCTAGCTTAGTTAGGTTTCCTACCATCATTTAGAATGTGGCTGGGACTGTGATCATTCCATAGGAGAATCACAGAATATATATTTGTAGATTCTCTTATCACGATTTTAAAATTGTAAGGCATAATTCCAGCTGCCACAATATAACCGCTGAATCTAAACAATATAAAATGGGCATGGTGGTACATGCCTATAACCCAAGGGAGGCTGAGTTCAAGTTCAAGTTCAAGACTAGCCAGGGCTACACAGTGAGTTCAAGGCCAGTCAAGGACAGCCTGGATTACAGAGCAAGATCCTTTCTCTAAAGGCAAAACAAAACAAAACAAAAAAACAATAAAATCACGCACATAACTAGGTAACGCGGCACCTCTACTTTTCTAATAGTTTTTATTTTCCATAATTCTGTGCTCTTAATTTGGTAACCTGCATCAACTTATTAGGAGAAAAATAAAGTGAAAAGTAAAAGCTGAGTCACTTATGACTCATTATCTTATGTATTAAACTACTTCTGTTAATAAAGTCAAGATGATATATTCTATCTGGAATTTATCTGCCCTTCCCTCCTAGCCCAACACAGGTTTTCCAGATGCGCAAGCACAGCATCAGGAGAACTAATGTGAACAGATGGCTAAGTTTAAAACAATCATACTACTCGAAAACCATATAAACATGGGCATTACTGGAGTCAATTTTGCAACTATGAATATATCATTATTTGAAAAAGAAAACTAATTTACAAAGATTCAATAACTGCATTTAATAATGCTAACAAAATACAGCTGTTGTGGAAGACTATTGGTGTCATGCATTACGTGAGTTACATAGTCTCTCATAAACCTCACAACAGTACTTTAAAGTGGACAGTTATTAGGCTTAGAATGTATATGCCAGCCAGTTAAAAAGGCTTTATTTTTTCTATCATAATGTGTAGAACACATTTACACAGTAAAAACAGCAGCACATATCGATAAAGTTTTTCTACTCATCTACACAATTTTGTCCAAATATTCATATCTGTTGTTGCAGGACAAAAGCATCCAAAGACAATACATGAAGGAGTACGGCTGTTTTCCAGAATATTTTCATTTATGGATACAAATTTGAATTTCATGTAAGTTTTACTTATAATATAGCACTCTTCTGATTTTTCCCCAAAATATTTTAAAGTATAAAACCCATTCTAGCTTATGGACCATTATTTGTAGGCTGTATGTGGGTCATTCATGAATTAGTATGCCAGTTTCTAAATTTAACATATCATTCAGTAACTAGTGGGAACAGCCAATTACGAGAATTTAAATTCCACAGAAAAAGAAATCTGTCTTGTTTGCTAGCATCTAGAATACTCTGCTCAATATGCATTTGCTGCATGAATATTTCAGGGGACTGCTACACATGCAAAAATTATCAATGCACCTTTCACTCAAAATTACATATCACATAATAAATTTAAGTAAAGAAGGAATATTCATGGGCTGGGGATTTAGCTCAGTGGTTCGGTGGCCTGCCTTGCAAGTGCAAGGACCTGAGTTCAATCCCTGGTACCAAAAAAAAAAAGAAGGAATATTCATGGGCTGGGGATTTAGCTCAGTGGTTCGGTGGCCTGCCTTGCAAGTGCAAGGACCTGAGTTCAATCCCTGGTACCAAAAAAAAAAAGAAGGAATATTCAGGAATTTTAACAAATGCGAATTTCAGTTAAGAAAATCTAAAAGGTATCAAATTATTACAAACATTAAAAATGTATGTTAGGGCTGGGGATTTAGCTCAGTGGTGCTGCCACCTGCCCTGCAAGTGCAAGATCCTTAGTTGGATTCATCAGTACCAAAAACAAAAACAAAACAAAAGTGACAAACACTTAAATTCTAAAAATAGGGCTGGGGATTTAGCTCAGTGATGCTGCTGCCTGCTTCATAAGTGCAAGGTCCTGAGTTCTATCCCCAAATAAATAAATAAATGTAAAAACTACAATAGTAAAGCAGTAAATGCTATATGAAAAAACCCACAGAGTTTAAGAGACAATCAATAGAAAAAGGTCTACAGATGATAAATGTCACTGTAATTTTTAAAATAAATCAATGAATGGATTAAACAGCAGATTAAATATAGCTGAAGGTAAGTTAGTGAACTGAAAGACAGACTGAGGAAATTACCCAAAATATGATGATTTTGGGTGTGTGTTCCTTTTATCTTTTTTTTTTAAACATAAAATGCAGGTTAAGGGTTATGAAACAAATGATGGTCCTAACTATGTCCAGCAGGAGCTCCTTACCCCAATAAATGTAGAAGGGCAACATTCACAGGGATAATGATCAATTTTTTTCCACAACAAAACATGAATGTTTTATATAAACATGGTGAAACTACAGAAACCTAAAGGCAAAAATTATTCTATGAAATGAAAAAGAATATTGTAAAATCATAAGCCAAAATAAAGCCTTTTTCCTAATTCTATTCTCATTTTCAAATACAGAAAAAGGGCTATCAGGTATTAGTTTAAACCAATGACCCACATGGACATTATTCACAAGCTAATCAAAAATCAAGGGATATGTGAGCTTCTTAGATGCACAAAGACTTTTAAAAGCATAAACAGGGATAGAAACACCCAGCCAAATCAACTTCTCAATCTCCTTTCTTCTACCTTAAAAACTGATTACTGTAAAACTCAACTGTTGATATATTTCCTTTCATAATAACCCTTTTGACTTTACAAAACAAAGATGTTTTAGAGTCCAAAATTGTTTTAGAGTCCAAAAACTTTCAAGACAATCTGAAATATTTGTATCTAAAATCTCTTGTCGTACAAAACATTTTGTGCCTTTCCATATTATATATATATATATATTTCTGTCAAGAAAGCATGGGTTAAAAGTTAGATATTTTGGGCCAAACTAAGATATGGTTAATTCAGTTATACTGAAAAACAGAAAAGCAAAAGTGATGAAAATCTGCATTTACTAACTTTGTATTGTTAGAAAAATACTGCTCCAAGGGTGAAATGAAAGAAAAATATAATTCAAAGACAAAAAAGAAAAAACCTTAAAATTTGCTGAGCCTTATCATGACCAGATAAAAAAGAACTCAGCTTAAACTCAAAGCCATATTTTTCTGTATCAGAATTCTAACATGAAATGATTACCATGAAAATGCAAATTTATATCTATATTGAAAGGAAAAACAGACTTTTAAATAAAAAAGACTGGTTTCATTATGTGAACTGGCCTTGTCAATTTATTGTACCAGGCATGGTGGTACACATCTGTGATCCCAGCTACTCCACAGGCTGAGGGAGGAGGATCACAACTTTACAACCAGCCTGGGTGCCTTAAATCCTATCTAAAAATTAAATTTAGAAGAGGCTGGGGATATAGCTCTATTGCAGAGAACTTCCATAACATGTGTGAGGACCTGGGTTCAGCTTTCAGTATGCAAGTAAGGGAGAGATGGAGGGAGAAAGGGAAAATTTCATAATATTGAGAGAAACAATGTCCAATTCAGTAAATTCTTCAATCCTGAAGTTAAAAAAAAAAAAATCTTTAATTATGTCAACACAGAGATGTTACAGAAAGAGAAAAATACAGAAATAAAGGCCTTACACATGCTGGTAATCACTCTATAACTTAGCTACATACCTAACCTTGGAAAAGAGTAAATTTAAAAGTCCTTAAAAAAAAAGTAAAAATCAAAACAAAACAAAATTTAAATGCTATTTAAAAATTGTTTCGTACAGGAAATATGTAAACAGCGCATTATGTCAAACTGGCAGAAGTCTGATCACATACTCTGCAATACAAAAAGGAAACAGGAACTCATACACTGCTAGTGGAATGTCACATGTTAACACCTCTGAGTGATAAATTAGGTAATAGCTAGCAAAATTACATGTGAATTTGCCCTCTGAAATTGCAAATGCAATTCTAGGAATCTATCCCACAAATATACAAAGATATGATAAAAATACATGCACAGAAAAAAAATTTTTAATTGATAACACATTAAAATGATATATGTTGGATATATGTTGATACATGCAATAAATGATATGTTGCATATAATAGATTTAATAAAATATGATGTTCAAATTAATTTCACTTTTTAAAAACATTGGTTATAGCTACTAGAAGATTAAAAGTACATACGTGGCTCTTAAAAAAATACATGTACAGTACAAGGCCTTATTAAAAGTACTATGTGTAATAGTAAAAGTGTTAGGCATATCTGTTTACCAGCAAGGGCTAACTGAGTATCTCATATATCCATTGAGTGTGGTACTATAACAAAAAAGGAATGCTAATGATCTCTATACAGAGGGATCTGCACAGTATACTATTAAGTTTTTGGTTTTTTTTTGAAGTACAGATAATTTCTCTAAAAAGGCTGATATAAATCCCAGCACTGAGGAGGCTGAGGCAGGATAATCAGTGTGAGTTCCAGATCAGCGTGGGATACACAGTGAATTCAAGGCCAGCCTGAAGATCCTATCTCTTACCCCCCCCACCAAAGTGGTATATATTTATATTAAAAATAGTAATAATGAAAGTCTAGTCGGGCGTTGTGGTGCACGCCTGTAATCCTAGCACTCGGGAGGCTGAGGTAGGAGGATCGCTGTGAGTTCAAGACCAGCCTGGGCTACATGGTGAGCTCCTGGTCAATCTCATTACATAGTAAGACCCTGTCTCAAAAAACCAAAACAAAACAAAACAAAAAAAAAGTCTAAAACAAATTTTAAAACAGGCTTTTTGTAGGGGTAAAAGAAACAGGGATTCAGGACAAAAACTAGACATATCAGAATGTAATTTCTTTTGTAGATGTGACATGAACCATGTAAATTTCTTTTACAGAATTATAAATTAAACCAAAATAAAAATAAAAAGCAATTTCTTGAAATAAAAAAAGGAAGGGAAAAAAATGCCCAACTCTCCATTCAGCTAAACAAGGAAGAATAAGTAATTTCAAGTGCTCTCAAAGCCATAATTTAACCATACAATCCTAGTGAGATATGCCCAAAACACCACAGATACAAGGAGAACTATTCTTAAATCATTTTAGTAGTAATTAAGTCAGTATTGACATAGTAAAATATTTTTATATTTTTAATAAGACAAAGCAAGTAAGTAATTCAACTAATATGAGGAAACAGTAAACTCAAAAGCCTTAAAAATGACTGAGCTGGCATACACCTGTAATCTCAGCACCCTTGGAGGTTGAGTCAGGATTCCAAGTGCAAGTCCAGCTAGACAACTTGGAAAGACCCTGTCTAAAAATTTTAAAAAGGAGGGAGGGAGGGCACCTGGGGATGTACCTCAGTGTAAAGGCCCTGGGTTTAATCCACAGCACCGAAGAGTGCGGGGAGAGACTGACGTATTTGAAAAAAAATATTTTTTTTTTTTTAGTACTGGAAATCGAACTCAGGACCTTGTGCTTTCGAGGCAGGCAGCAGAACCGCTGAGCTAAATCCCTGGCCCAAGACTGACATATTTGATGGCATAAGAAAATACATTTTCTCCAAGGCAATAGTTATCAAAGGAAAAATAGGCCCAGTGAAGAAACTGGATTAAAATACAGCTATGTGCTGAAGACTGATGTTTTAGTCAATGACAGACTGCATATACGATGGTCCCATAAGATCATAATGGAGATGAAAACTTACTGTCACCTAGTTACAGAATCACCATCATACTGTGTTTGTGGTGATGCTAGTGTAAACAAACTTACTGTACAGCCAGCTGTATAAAAACGTAAAACATACAATTAAGTATGTATGAAATATTAATATGCAATTTAAAAAGATAATAACTATGTTACTGGCTTGCATATTTACTGTACTTTTTCTTAATTTTAGAATGAACTCCTAGTTACACAACTTTTTAAATGTTTACTGTATGCTGTTATACCCCACAGCAGCCTCATACATTGTGTTTACTGTATCTCTTGATCTACACAGAGGCCAAGTTCAGAGACTGACTGACCTTACTACCCAATTTTGTGTATGTATGCTCTATGATTTTTCACACAAGGAAACTCCATAAGAACACATTTCTCAGAATTTATTTCTGCCACTAAGCAATGCATGACTATATTAACAACTAGTAACAGCAAAAGACCAGCTTCTCCAAAATACTGTATTTCATCAAACCCAAGAAACTGTTGTAAGATGTACTATTGTTTAAACTATGTCATCTATCATTATAAAATGCATAAATGTCAGATGCCAATGTCTTAGACAACACAAAAAGAATCTTATGAATAATACTGTACACATCAAATAGAAAAATGGACACAAGATATTAACTGACAATTATCAAAAAAAGGAAACAGAAATGGACTACATGAGTGTTTAATCTCATCCACAATAAAAGAAGTGCAAATGAAGACTAGAAGATACTATTTTCATTGGTAAAGATTAAAAAGTTGATCTTACTATGACAGAAATGTAACACAAAGCTAACAAATATTTCCATAGGGATAAAAAAGTAGCTGTGAATACTATTTACCTCTGGGGTAGGGAAGTTGGGGTTGGGCTTACAGTTTAAAAACATCGTGTTTCAAGGTGGAAATTTTTAGTATGTAACTTTAAAAAAATTTTGTAAGCAACACTTGCCTTTTTTCCTTTTGAGGTTTCAGAATCCTTATCATCTTCTACACTGAGCAGATTTGCTCCACTACACAGAAAATAAGGGGAAAGAATTTTAAGTAACAATTATAATCTATACATTAAATTCAGAAGTTTTATCTTCTATGCTCACCTAATTCAAGCTATCAGCAAATTTTTTCAGTTTACTGAAATCAATAAAGGACAATATAGTAAACTATTTTAGGCTTTGTAGGTTACATACATGGTCTCTATATGGTCTCATCTTTGCCAACATAGTATGAAAATACCCATAAACTACAGGAAGCTGTGTTCCAATAAAATTTTTAACAGTGAAGTTGGTGCCAGGCAGGACTGAGATCATAAGCCACAAATAAATCTTGTTTTTTAACTATGAATTTTGTATATTATTATTAATTTCTCCTTTCTTTGACTGACATTTAAGGAAGCAGAAGAGAGAAAAAACTACATTACAGGAGAAGAAAATACATCGTTAAAGAAAAAAATCAACCAATAAAAATGGCACCTTAAAAAACAATTTTTTTAATACAACCATGATGGTCAAAATCAAACACACATTTTTGAAGATAATTCTGCTAGGCTTCTTATAGTAAAATTCTAGATACTTCAGATTTTTTGTTTCGCTGCTTTTATATATACCCCAACTTGTTAGAAATTCTTACATTTTTGTAAAAGTGTTTGAAAGGAAGCTGAATTTCATATTTAATCCTATTTTTTCTGAACTATAAAAATAAATATCCCAAAAAGTTTTAAAAAATCAGAAAACAAAACGAAGACAATAAAATAGTGACTTTAAATAAGAAACTTACTAGTTCAAAGCTCTCCTTCAAATAAAACTTCAAGGCACATAAAGTGGTAATGATGAATGGAGCTGCTGCCCAGACAGATGTGAAGCACCTACAATATTCAGTCAATACGCTCTGAATGACTTGTGTAAAGATTTCGAGAAAATATTTATAATTTTGTAGAACTTTGTGTGTATATTCATGTTTCTCTACATTTGTTTACTAGTCAATGAGCAATCAGAGCAGTAAAAAACTGAAAGCTGCTAAATTTGCAGCATACCATAGGACTTGCAATAAATACTATTGAAACTAGTTTTTACACAGATTTCATTTCAAGTACGTTAACAAAGTGTAACGAAAATTTTGCTTAACTTCTGTCTGGGTAAATACTTGGGTTTATCACTTACAGTGGTGCTTTCTCTGACAGGAATCTGATCTAAGATTAAAGTAGTGGTAGTAGTGTCACAAGAAAAGAAAGATACAGAATTAAAATCTTACACAAAATTGAAGAATCTTAATCTGGGTTCACTTACACACAATAAATGATGGCTTTTCAAACTGCTGCTTGAACAGAATGCATTTTTTAAAAATGTCCTTAATTTGAAATCTGTTGTATGATCAATTTTTAACCACAAGTTTACATGTATTTTATTTGTACATTTCAAACAACTAAGAAATATAACAGCAAAATTATTTACCAATAAAGAACTGTGGTGTCATTCCTTAATGCTGCCATGTATGAGTTAAATGTCCACCTTTCTCCTGGTACTGAGAATTAAACCTAGTGCCTCCTTAAAAAAAATTTTTTTTTTTTAAATTTTGAGTCACAGTCTTGCTACGTTTCTAAAATTGCTCAGGCTGACCTTGAATATGCAATCTTTTTGTCTTAGCCTCCAAGAGTGCCAAGATTATAGGCATGTGCCATCATAGCCAGCTCAAATGTTTTTTTAAGTGAAAAATACCACACTTCCAAAAAATCTACCTACTGGGTGTGGTGGCACACACCTGGGACCCTAGCATTTGGGAGGCTGAGGCAGAAGGATGACCACTAATTCGAGGCCAGCCTAGACTACACAGTTCATTGAAGACCAGTCAAGGCCAGCCTGAATTACAGAGCAAGACCCTGTCTCAAAACCCAAAGTAACAATAAAAACAAACAAAAAAACTTTCTACAGAATATAAATTGTTTTTGCAACAAAAAGTTTCATTCTTATAAAATAATTGAGGGAAAACAAATCCTTACTCTTTATTTGTATCTCCTTCATTTTCTTCTTCATGATCAAAGCTCCAATTATTTTTAAAACCTCCATCTCTCTTAGACTCTGATCTAGTCAAAGCTGAAATAAAAACAAACTGAGATAAGTATTTATTAATAGAATTATTCAGTATGTAATAAATTTGAGCATTTCTCAAGCTTGATTAGATTTTCTTTTAATTTGATTACTTTTGACTTCTTGTAAACATCTTACTTTCATAAAGAAAAAGAACACATTAAAAACTTTTAAAAAAAATTTACAGTCATCTATATGAGAAAAACAGCTGGATAGATAGCCTTCACCTTAAATTCAATCATCTTTGCCTTTTAACAAAAGACAAACAAAAGGTACTCTGTATCACAGGTATTCTGTACTTAATTTTATGACAAGAAATACTGTAGATCAGAACATCAAAGATGCTCATATCAATGTTAAAAACATTTCCTAAGTACAAGGCTTACCCACCCCCCACGAGCTGTCCTGAAGCCACAAAGTGGGAAACTCAAAAGTGAGAAACTTACTAGTTTCTACTAGGTACTACATTCCAAAGCTGGAATTTGTCTTGGAGCTACAAGACAAAAACCTGCTATCCTAGAACCTGGATTTTAAATTTAGAGTAGCAATAAGAGAAGTCAGGTTGAAAATCAGAGGACCCAAATGGCAGAATCCTGATTGGGTGAACCAAAGGGGGATTAAAAAGGAAACTCACAAAAGAAAAGACAACAGGGATAACTGATGTTTTCTTGGCCCTGTGTTTCTGAGATGAACTAAAGACAAAAATATGTCTACCTTATGGTTTGGGCCACAGTCTAACTATCTGTGTCTCTTCAAAACTCAGATATTGCGATCCCAACCTCCAAGGTGATGGTATTAAGAGGTAGAGCCTTTGAGAGATATGGAACAGAGTCCTCTGTTTGGATGGGATCAATGCCCAAATAAAACAGACCTAAGGGAATTTGTTTGCCCTTCCACTACTGGAAGATGTAGTAAGAAGGTGCCATCTATGAGGAAGTGGGCCCTTACCAGATCCTGAATTTGGACACTTTAATCTGACTTCCAGCCTCCAGAACTGTAAGAAATGTATTGTTTAAAGGGTATCCAGTACATGATGCTTTATTACAGGAACCCAACTGGACTAAGACAAGGAATTTCTAACCATAAACCCACAATTATTAAGGATTGAGGCCAGAATTTTCACAACCTAGTAGAACAGAAAAGCCCATAATTAAAATAGCCTCCTCTTTGGTCTCAGATGCTGAAGCAAGATGAAGAGAATGTTACTATTTGTAAAGCACTGTGACAAAATACACACAATGTACCACTGCTGTGACTCTAAGCTTTCAGAAGCTGCCCTGTGGCAAATGTGACTCCCCTCCCAAGCATAAGAGAAAGTATACTGGAATGCCAAGGATAAAAGACGAAATAACCATTGGGACTATTCAAATGGGTACCTAAAAATTGTATGCCACAGATTCATGCAGATTTCATTAAAAAGTACCACCTGAACCCATGAGAGCAACTACTGCAGCATCTAGATCATGTTGAGACTATCAATGACTGGCTAAGCAAATGTTCCAACTTTTTAAAATAACTAAATAATAAAAAAAACCAAAAATCCAAAACCCTCTGATGAAAAGATGCTCAACAGAATTAGCTAACAGGGTAATGTGAATCAAAATCATAATGAGATACTACATCTTAGCTATTAAGATGGCCCTCCTTTTTGTTTGTTTTAATGGGAAGTGGTTTCAGCTGGGATGGGGAGAAATTAGAACTCTTGTGCACTGCTGGCAGGAATGTAAAATAGTACAACCATTATGGAAAAAGTCTGGTGGTTTCTCCAAAAGTTAAAACACAGAATTAGCAATATGATCCAGCAATTCCACCTCTGGGTATATATTCAAAATAACTGAAAGCATGAACTCATCTGTACACCAATGTTCACAGCAGCATTACATTAAGTCAAAAGGCAGAAACAACTGAAGTATCTACCTGCAGGTGAATGAGTAAATAAAACACATACACACACACACACACACACACACACACACACACACACAGCAACATTATTTAGCTCTTAAAGGAATGAAATCTGATGTATGCTATACCATGAATGATCCCTGAAAATACTGTACTTGGTAAAATAAGTAAAAGACAAATATTGTATAATTTGACTCAAATGAGGAACTTAGAATAGGCAAGATTCATAGAGATAAAGTAGAATACAGGTTACCAGAGGCAAGAGGGAGGAGTGGAATGGAATTATTTTTTAATAGATACAGAGTTTTTGTCTGAAATAATGAAAAAGTTCTGAAATTGGATGGTGGATGGTTATACAACACTGTGAATGCACTTAATGCCAAAGCATTTAAAAATAATTAAAATGGCAAATTTTATTATGTACACTTTATCACAGTTTAAAAAAACTAAAGGAGGAAGCCTCAATGTAAGCAACATGAGCAAACATAAATCCTCTCTAAAAACACGTAAAGCATCAAAGAAAATCTCAAAGATATAGAGAAAAAATGAGTCCACAAAATTATGAAATAGGAGAAAACAATTTATGGGCAAATCTAAAACTTCTTTACACATATACTAGGGTTGAAAAGATGATAAATAGCAGATAACAGAAAGAAGATTTTTCCCTGTAAGAAAGAAGTTACAAATAAGCAAAAGGGGAAGCTAGAATGAGTGCTGTGATGCTAGAGTTGGATATTATATGAGCTCATGTTTACTAAATACATACACAGAGGAATAAAGATACACACACACACACACACACATATGTTGTAATATGGATTAGTATACACAGCAGCCTGTGTTCTAAAAGGATCTAGGCGCAATGATACCCCAATAGCAATGAGCATGCTCAAAACCCAGTCTTGCATTCTAAATACCATTCTCTCTTATAAGACTAGGCACTCCTAAGGGAGAAGAACGACTCTGAGGGCAAAGGCTGGAAAAACACAAGATGAATCTACAGTACTTACAGGGCCAGATTACAGATTTTAAAAAAAGGGGCAAGAGTGAGGCATGTCAAAAGGTTCCATGAACCAACCTGAAAGAACAACTGTAGCAAAAAATAAAAAGCAAACAATATCAGCACTGGATTATAACCCCCAAATAAAACAAATGGGGATAAGGCTACATCTTTCTTATAGAAAATTCTGAAATAATACAGGCACATTGTCCTTCCTATAAGAGTGATCTCCCACCATTCAGTATGAGTTGGCCTTAGTAACTCACTTTCAAAGAGATGACAGAAAAGGAAGAAGAACTGATTGAGGAGAAATCCAACATACACTATCTCAGCCAAGTGGTCAAGGTTAGCATCAGTGATGATATGTCTTATTCACAGGGCACATCCTTTAACATAGTGTGATATTTTCCTCCAGAATTCATAGTATCAGTTTAGTCAGCAGTAACAAAATAGACAAATCCAAACTTGAGGCTATAAAATATATGACTGTCAATCTTTAAAACTACCAAGGCTGTGAAAAACAAGTAAAGGTTAAGAAATTGTCAAAGATCAGAATAGACCAAACAAGAACAAAAGCCAAACCCAAAATTCTGGATTTGATTTTGGAATGCTTAAGAGAATAATGGAATAACTGTTGAAATCCAAATAAAGCTGGTAGTTAAAGTAATAGTATTATAATAGTGTTAAATTTCTGAGCTTCAACACATACACAAATGGCAGTTAGGTATGGTGACCCACACCATAATAATTCATCACATTGGGAGGCTGAGGCAGGAGGATCTCAACAGCCCAGCCAGGCAACTTAGTGAGACCCTGTCTCAAAAATAAACAACTGTTTGCTGAAGAAAGAAGGAAGGAAGGAAGGAAGGAAGGGAGGGAGGGAGGGAGGAAGGAAGGGTGAGAAAGAAATCTTTGCCAATATTTTTTTCCAAACTGTTAAGAAAATAGCACCAACCTCACCTAAACTTTTCCAGAAATTTGAAAGAACACTTTACAGCTCTTTTTATGAAGTCAGAATACTTAATCCTAAACCTAACAATGGCATTCAAGAAAATTACTGTCCTCTGCAATCTCACATGAAGATATATAAAACTTTGTTCTGTTTTGTTTTTTGAGACAGGGTCTCACTATGTAGTTGAGACTGACCTGGAACTCACTATGTAGCCCAGGCTGGTCTTGAACTCACAGCGATTCTCCTGCTTCAGCCTCTCAAGCTGACATAGAAAACTTTAAGTAAAAGATTATTAAATTAAATCCAGTGATACAGCAAGAACACATTAAAATTAAGCCAGGTTTATTGCAAAAAGCAAAAGTTAATGCTTGACATGAGTAATTAACAATACTCATTCATAACGATCAAAAAATCTTAATTAAACCAGGTATAGAACATCCTTAATCTAAACCTCCAGCAAACATCTTACTTCTCACACTGTAATAAGCCACATCAAATCTATTCGACTATGTAGTGAAGGCCCTACTTGGTGCACTGAGACAAAGGGGTGAAATGTCTAGGAAGACTGAGGAAAAAAGAGCAAGAAGAAAACTTATGTACTGAACTCCAGAAAGGCTGCTCACTAACTGGCTACAGTAGGGTACCTGATGAAAGAAAGTAGTTTTATCCTAAAGGTTATTAGTAAAAATGTAAACAATAAACATGTAAGAAAGAATGTACCTAAGAAAGTTCATCATTTGGGAATGATTACAGTAATAACTCAGTCATGAATCAATAAATGCTAAAACCAGTGAGTGAGATTTGATGAGAAACAAGATATAAGCCAGATGTGGTGGTGCAAGCCTGTGATCTAGGCTACTCAGAAGGCTGAGGCAGGAAGAGCAAACCTGCATTTGGAATTTAAAAATTCAGGATCAGCCCAGGGCAGGCCATTTAGCCAGACCCTGTCTCAAATACATGGATGGACAGCTCAGCAGCACAGCACATGCTACGCACGTGAGAGGCTCTGGCTTCACTCTCCAGCATCAAAAAATAGCAATGTCAACAACAACAACAAAACAAACACCAGGATATTTACTTCTCTCAAAGTAGCTCTCACACACCATTTATTAATTACAAAGGAGAGCTGGAGATTTAGCTCAGTGGTTCTGCCATTTGCCTCGAAAGCACAAGGTCCCAAGTTTGATCCCTGGTACCAAAAAACAAAACAAAACAAAAAAAAAAACACTTCTACAACATTCCTTACTGAAAAATAATAATAAACCTGAATCATGAGGTAACACCAGATGAACTCAAATTGAGATATACCCTAGCTACAAAATAACCATCACATTTTGCCAAGATCAAGAAAAAAATTGAAAAGAAATTTCCATACTAAGGGAAACAAAAAAAAATAAATGTAATACATGATTTTATATTGAATCCTGAACTCAAGTTTTTTTTCTTTTACATTAAGAAACACTCTTAGGTCAAGTAGTAAAAGTTGAGAAATAATTGTAGATTAGATAGCAGTATTAAACCAGTTTTAACTTTCTGATAGCAGATAGCACGGTGGTATTTTCTGTTTCATTTTACAGTATAGGGACTGAATCCAGGGCCTTCCCATTGAGCTGCATCCCCATCCCTTTCCATCCAGTTTTTTGGAAACAAGGCCTGGCTCAATTGGCTAGGCTGGGCTCTACATTCGCAATTATTCTGCCTCAGCCTCCCAAAGTGCTTAAGCCATACCTGCCTAACACTCCAGTTTTTACAAGAATGTACAGTTTCTCAGAAAAGTTTGGAGGTGGAATTATGAATTAATGAGGGTTACATGGGTACTATGTCTGAAATTTACTTTCAGATGGTCAGAAATAACATAAATTTAGGTAGATATAAATATATATCTGGAAGGCAATATGATAAAGAAGTTTTAAATGTTGATATTGTAAGTCTTTGTAGTAGCCTTACAACTTTCCTATAAAAGTAAAATTATTTCAAAGGTTAAAATTTGTTTTTGGTACCGGGGATTGAACTCAGGTCCTTTCACTTGCAAGGCAGGCCACCGAACCTCTGAGCTAAATCCCCAGCCCTAAAATTTTTTCAAATACAAGGAATATACAAACTACCAATAAATTGTCCAATTCTGTTCCTCCAGCCTATACTGACTGCTACACTACTGCTGAAACAAAAACTAAAGAAATGAACAAAAATTAAATAAAAGTTACAGAAGACCAATAGACCAATAAAACCAAAATATTTCTTAAATCACACAAATACCCCAACGTTAAGTCACTAAAGGAAAAATAAATGATTATACTGTTTATAAAAATCATTCTATTTAAAAATTGCAAAATAACTTGGTAAGATGTTCCAGCCAAGATTTCTATTCAAAGATCACACTCCATCATCATCACATAAAATAAAGTCTTACACTAAATTGGCCTTTGATATTTTTTGAACGTTGGATGGAATTTTTTAAATATGGCAACAAAGATATTCAACCTCAGTAGAGAGTATCATAGGCTCAAACCACCATCTGATAATGAAATCAGATCACGGCTACCTGGCAACCTACACAAAAATGGCTGCTTTACCAATTT